AAGGGGGGGGGGGGGGGGGGGGGGGGGGGGTAGGGGGGGGTATCATCTCCTCCACATCTGACTTCTACTTGCCGGCGTGGAGCACCGGTGCGCCAGCCTGTGGTACAATCTCTCTCTCCTTGGCCCTCCCGCTCCCTCTCTCCCTCTTCGCTCTCTATGAGAAACCCTTCACTTGCTGCTGCTACTGTTGCGCTGGGACTCACCACGTTTTTCGCTAAGCGTAGTAGCCGATTGGTCAAGGCGCTCGTGCCTGCTGCGTGCCGCCATCATCATGTTGATCGTTCAGCCGCACGCTCGAGGAGTAGCCTTGGTGCATCCAAAAGTGCGGGGGGCGTAGCGGAGCGCATCCATCAAATCGCGGGGAGAGAGTTTGACATCGGCAAGCCTTCTGTCCTGGCCAAGGTTCGCGCAATACTTTACGGCAGCTGCTGCAGTGTAAATAAAATGTACAGCAGTAGTTGCCTACGGTGAACCGGCGAAACGCATGTAGACTCTATCTTTGTGCGGTACAGCAGTACGCGTTTCGCTGGCTGGTCGTGTGTGACATACACCGAGTTGCCGCTTAGCAGAGGAGAGGTTTTGGCCTCACCAACTCCCCGTTCGAAACCCGAAGTCCTGCTAGTGGTGTGTCTGTTCCGTAACTTCGTCGGCAAGTGTGTGTATCTGCGGTGTAACCGCTAGACGAGTCTCGCCGCTACCGTTCCGTCCCGTAACTGCCTGTAAATAGTTTTTTTTTTTTTTTGAAGCCGAATCAAACCATGAGACTGCAAGTAGTCAGCGCTGTTGACCAGCGCTGTTGACTTCCCAACAGCGCTGATTAGTCTAATGTTTTGATTTCGTTTACTATAGAAGGCATACACCCCCTGTGTAACCATGTGCTCCCGTATGCGTATCTCCAGGTGCTGTACGACGAAATGAGCGTCTTCAACCCTCAAGCCGGCAGCAAGGCAGCGCTCACGGCCGCCGGTCGCCCCAAGCCGAGGTCGGTGTCCGTGAAGACGCTGTCGGCTGTGCTCGAGGCTGAGAGAGACCCGGCCAAGCGCGAGCTGATCGAGCTGGTGCTTCGATGGTTGGATGCCAAGGCGGTGGCTAAACGAGGAGGATTCGTCGCTGCCGGTGAGTACTGCTGTACTGGTAGTGATTAGTCAAGGGCGTGTCAACGTGTCGACCAAGGCCACCGTCACGTTGCTCTGCATGAGGTAAGGTCCCGGGCTAGCTACAATAGGGTCGTTTCTGATTTAGTTGGGTTCTGTTTTACTGCTGTTTGAAGGGTAGGTGGGCGCGCTCAACGGCGTACTGCTGCATGCTGCATAGTATAGCACCGCGGAAAAATAACGTTTTCGTTAGCAATGTGTTCGGCAGGGCTTTGTTGTTGCGTTTTTGCATACTCCCGAGTAGTTGGCTAAATATTATTAACTTCTACTCCCGACCTCCTCTTAACTCATGCTCTTCCAAGGCAGCATACTTAAATCCCGCCGTTGTGACTGGCGCTGGAGATTAACATGAAAAATGGTGAATGGTGTGCCTCCAAGGTTCGTACCCCAAGTAGCGCACGACACAGCTCCCTCCAAGTATTACGGTGCTGTGCTAGCTGTTGTTCAATCGCCTGAACAAGGCGCGGCGTGCACAGATGGCCACCTCAGTGAAAATACCGCTCGGCACTATCACCAGCCTTCAGTAAGTCATGATCGAAACAGACAACTTAATGATACATCATGTCTAGCTACATCGATCGAACATTGGCTGCCGTTGCTTGCTGGACCCTACCATTCCAGGCGAGAAGGTGGTGGACATACCAAGCTGGTCGAGCCGGCTCATTCCAGATGACGACGAACTACCGGCGGACCCGTCCGCGTCCCCTGTGGTGCTAGTTGACGGGCATTACATCACATACCGCTCTTTTCACGGTATGCCGCACCTGTCAGCGGCTGATGGGACACCGGTAGGGGCGCTGGTTGGGTTCTGCAACACCATGAACAAGTTGGTGAGCGTTGCGTCTGCACGCTGCGCACTCCAGGCCGCGAGCGTGCCGTTCGGTAGACGACGATGTCGGCGCGATCGTAGTTGTGGCCGACGCTATTTGCCGTGGTCGTAGTTGGTTTACAGTTACATGTTCCCGCTGTTTTGTTCCTGGGCCTTCCGATCCATCCCCAGGATTTTTCTCTCATGCCATCGTGTCCTTGGTATCATACTACTAATATCGTGGTCCAGAGGGGTCTGGTCTGCTAGAGTCAGACGTGATTGGGACTGAATAAGCTACAGTAGGTTTGTCACAGGTTTGCGTTGCCAACTGTTTAAGTTTTTCTCTCCAGCTAACGGCGACATGGCCTTGTCCCCCCGGACCGGGGACATAGGCCTTCAAGAACGTCGACGAAGACATAGGACGGTAGACGACAAAGACGACAAGTTCAAATGTGATTGCGGCTTTGAATGCGAAGACCGTGTTCATGTAGTCGCGGAATGTCCGTGGTACGAAGAGGAGAGGGAAGTGTACATGACTGAGCTGGGAAAAATACAAGGGACGTACAGGGAGATGTTTGAGGCATGGAATAGAGAGGAGAGGACGGTAGCTGTACTGGGGAGTAGGAAGTGGTTTGAAAAGGCGGGAAGGGATATCGGTAGGATAGAAAGACTAGGGAAGACATTTTTGAGCCACCTTTGGCAAAGTAAGAAGGAACGATTGGCCATCGGTGATCGGTCCTGTGGGAACAATGCTCCGTCCTTTGGGGGACGGGTGGTCAATGGTTTAACCGCTAAGGCATGCAAAACATAAGGGTACCCCCCCCCCCCCCCCCTGCCCCAGGTGGTGCAGCCTTGGGCTGAAGGCGTTGAGCGGCGGCAGAAGGTAGTGGTGGTCTTCGACACGGGTGACGACAACTTCAGACATGACCTTTCCCCGTCGTACAAGAAGCACCGGACAGAAACCCCAGAAGCTCTAAGGTAATCGGAGGAGTTCGGCACCTCTCATGGCATAGCTGCACAACTGAATCGCTTTTCTTTTCGGTTCTGCTAGTATTTTACCCTTGCAGAGAGTGTAACAATCTGTTTTTGGGGGGGGGGGGGGAGGGCGTTTCACATGCGCTGTTCGATGATCGTGCTTCCGACCCCCGACCCTTGTAATACCAATGCTTCCTCTGGCGGTTCGAAAAGCGCAGGCCACAGTTCGCATTGGTCCGAAAAGCTTGCGAGGCGTACGGGTTGGAGACCATCGAAGGGCCCGGCTACGAAGGCGATGACGTCATTGCCTCCTTGGCGTTGGAGGTAAGGTGAAACGTGTACATACATACATGGGTTCGACGCTCGCTCTACCGGAGCAAAGTGTTTGCGAGGGCGTGCCGTTTGTGGTTGTTGTGTTTTGCTTTTGCTTGACTTGGACAAGGACAAGGACATGTGTGCCGACCCTGGGATAGTGCATGTTATCCCCACGCCAGTTTTGACCGGCGATCGTATTCTGCGCCAACGCCTTTCGATCAAAATGCGTTTTGGCCGTTCCGCTTGCAACATTTCAGAAGGAGCTACGTGCAGAACGGATCGGGACAGCGCCCGATGATGGTGTCATCTCATCTCGTCTCATGCCTTTGCTTTGCTTCGCTTTACTCCGGGTTGGCAGGCTGTGATAGGAGGCGCGACGAACGTAACGATTGTTAGTGCAGACAAGGACCTGGCGCAGCTCGTGACTAGAAGGGTAAACATGCTCAACGTCTACACTGGGGAGAGACTGGGCCCTGAGGAGGTGAGCGCCAAAGCGGACAACACCACTTCGCGCATCGCACGTGTTTGGACGCATGTATGTGCTGGGTCCTCAGTAGTGCCGGTACGCAGCGGCAATTTTGCCGGTACTTCTGCTGGAGGCATCCGGCACTACTGTACCCCAGAGCACGGAGCGGGCCTGATTTTTCTGTCTGTCTCGGCGATTTAACCGGCCCAGCTAAGAGGGGCCCCTGATGTATGCCTAGGATGTGTTGAACTTCCAATTGTACGCCTAGGATGATGTGTGTGTCCACCACTGCAACAGTGTTTTCGACGTACGTGCGAGTTTTCGCTCTTTGAGAATCGCCATTGGTTGAGTTGTGTGTTGTAGCTGATGCGGTCGTTTGCTGCCGGAAATCGTGCCTTTTGTGCTGGTTCATTATTGCGGAGGCGTGGTTGTATCCAATGCCGCGAGACGGAATGGCGACGTGCGCATGTGTACCCCAAGCGACGGAGAACACTCGATCTTCGCAATGCAATACAGCTTCGTCAACACTAGTTTTTTTTTTTTGACGGCAACAAGCAGGTGCTTGCGAAGTTTCTCGCTCCTCCGGGACGGTTAGCGGACCTGCTTGCGATAGCCGGCGACAAGTCGGACGGCATCGTGGGGGCTGAGGGGTACGGTCCCGTTAAGGCAGCCAAGGTGCGGAGACACTATAGAGGGTCAAGTGGTGTTGCACTGCGGTGGGTGGCGTCGGTTACACTTTCATGCCAAGCATACACGGAATGTCGTTTTCACGGCGGAGGGGATGCGTGGCAGAGAGAGGCGATACAGGAACCTCCACGGGTAGAGAGTGAGACGCCAGCTCCTACGTGATGAAAGAATTGCGTGGGGTCGGAGCACTTCGGCATGCAGGAGATTCAAGTGTCTTTGATCCTTTGTTTTCAGATGGGGCATGCAGGTATCACCTGTGCTTCGATCTCTAAGACTGCTCCTTTGTAGGTTAGTGTGGGAAAAAGGCATGATTCATGAAAATCCGATGGCGAGTTCACCCCCGCCGGCTTAGTTCTAGTAAGGGGAGCAAGGATAGAATCGCGCGAAGCTAGACTGGGGGCGTTTGGTATTTTTTTCTCTTTTTGTTTGGCTTGACCTCGCGTATCGAGTGGGATGTCCCTGTGTATTGATCCCTTTTGGTGGTCTCTTTTGTCTGGCATGTCACCTGCTGCAAACGCTCACTATTTTTGTACTTTGTGCTGGGTAAATTCTGATGACAACCGCGGCCACCACCACCACTCAACAACAACGGCTTCTGAAGGTAATGGCGTGGGAGAGACGCAATGCATCAAAGAGCTCTGCCGATCATTTTTTGGCATACTTTCGTATTGTGACAGGTGCTGGCGAAACACGAAACACTGGAAGCAGCGGTGGACGAGATTTGCTCCACGATATCGAAAAAAATTGAGGACCCGGTGAGGCGGCGGTGCAACCCCCTGGCTACTACTTCAGTAGGCTGTAGACGATACCCTGTCACTCTTCCATTGTACTCCGGAGTATGCATAGAAGTGTAGTTGGGTACGGTTAGGGTCAAGGGCGGAAATTCGCTACTCTGTGTTGAGTCTTATCGGAAATACACAAGCGTGGGGGGGGGAGTGTTCCAACCACGTGCCTCATCATCAACAAGTATTCAATGCATCCCATAACACAGCATGTTTCACTGGTGCTTGTCGGAGTCTTGTTCAAGCCCCAAGAACTGGGAGTAAACTTGGGGCTACATTTTTTGCCAAACACGCTGCCGTTGACAGGAACTCGTCGCCAAGACGAGGGAGCAGGTGTTGCTCGCCCGAAGGCTCGTCGAGCTCTGCACAACGGTACCCCTCGATCGAAGAACAGGCCTCAAGAGCCTCGCCTCTGTGCCGACTTTCCATCTGGAAGGGGAAGGAGCGGCGGAACGGTTGCTGGCGTTCATGCGGAGGTTCGAGATGGACGAGCTCTCCTTGCGGACATCCCGTCTGCTGGGCGTGAACTAGGCTAGGCGACCACCTCCTTGTGGAGTGTTTTTTTCTTCTTCTAATGACACACCAAATCCATATCCTCCACTGATGAAGAGTCTGGGACAGATTAGCGATGAACTCACAGCGTTGAATATTTAGTGGCGCTTGGTGTCGCGCTTGGTGTCATTACCTCGCTGGTTGCCGTGCTTGCATGCGCGTCTTTTGGCCACCGGGCGGCCAACAACTGTCTTGCTCACAGGGAAATGTACTTGTTTGTCGTTTTCATTTTTTGTTTTGTGAGAGTAATTTTGTCGTGATTTTGTCATGTGCGCGTTAGCAGGCGTGCGGGTGACTGTATTACTAAAAACGACTCTCTTTTCTTCGGCGGGGTGCGTTCGATTACCAATCGCGCAAGTCCATGCTAGAGGGCCTGGGGAGGTGTCACGAGCCTGTCTGCGTATATGCCGGGGGGAAGGCTGTTACAAGAACCACACACGCCTCAGTTCATCGTAGTTTTGCGGGGGGATGTTTGCGTTTGTCGGTTTCTGTTTGGGGGCAGGGTTAGCTGTACAAATTCAACGGCCGTGTGTGCATGCATCTTGGCATGTTTGTAAAGTGGAGCATACGCAGAGTGGAGTTGACCTCTTGTCCTTTACGAATGCTCGGAATGACAGCAATCAATCGGGTGTTGAAAAATGGTCGTGTGTGAAAAACCCGAGTGTGAAGGGCGTGCATGCCACGTTTGCGATCCGCCTTCGAGCCCGAAGGCTGAGACCCCCCCCCGTCTCACCGACCGTCAGCCAGCAACGCCCGTGAGGGGTCCGCGATGCGGGAGCATTTCTGCGCCTGCTCTTTAAAGTGAAATAGTATAGATTTGGACTCAGCAGTCGGTAAGTACGGGTCGATCCTCACAGGCACACAAGATACGAGATGAGGGAGAGGCTCAAAGCACCAAGTGAGCTAGCATATCTCTTCATGACAAATATATCCCTTAGATTTGTTGCGGCCATGTGAGCGAAGTGTACCTGGAGAGTATTTCATCTGTACGACGTTGTTCGTCTGCTTGACCGAATGTCAGGTGAAGCTTGAGTTGAGGAAGGCCGGCTTCAACGTTGTTTGTTGTGTCCGTCAATGTCTGCACCAAAATGTAGGGAAAACCGCACGTGCCTGCAAACAGCAACACCATCGGCTGCCACGCCGCGGCCTGAATCGAGTCGGCGATAATCCAAGGTACCGACACGCGACGTGCGTGGGGACAACAGCAGCAGTATACCAAGGCCTGTCCCGCCCCGCCAGAACGAAGCAAAAAAATATCGTCTCCCGTTGAGAGCAGTCACACGCTGCCATCGACGAAACACAAGCAAGTCATGCTTTCCTGTCTTGTCTTAATAGGACCCACCACCAGCGTTCGGTATATCAGGACCAGCGTCGCTCGATACCGAACTCTCCCCAACCTTCGCCGTGTCTAGTATACCACATAGAGAACATTCTTTGAGAACGGCCCTACTGGGACAATCTAATCAGCCAAGACAACGAACTGTCTGACGCAAAGCGCATCGATCAGCTACAGGCAGGTTAGAACGCGGCGTCGGCGATGGTGACCTCGACCTCCACTCCGGGCTCGATGGAGATGGACGTGATCTCCTTCACGATCTCGGAGGGAGAGTGCAGGTCCAGGATGCGCTTGTGGATGCGCATCTCGAACCGGTCCCAAGTGTTGGTTCCCTCTCCGCAGGGCGACTTGCGGGTCACGATCTTGAGCTTCTTGGTGGGCAGGCGCACGGGTCCGGACACCTTCAGCTTCTTCTCGACCGCGCCCTTCTTGAGGTCCGCGCAAACTGCGGGAGAGCGCAAAGCACAGGGGCAGAGATTTGTCAAAACGGAGCACTGCGTCCATAAGTCGTCGTGAGAGTAGAGGAATGCGGGGCACTGTGACGTCAGTAGTATGGGTCATGTTTCCCCGAAAAACAAGAGGGACTCGATTCGATGAGCAAGTCAATACGTATGACGAGGTTGGGGAGGCTCCGCTACCATAAACACCGTCAAAACAAACCATGGAACCATAACAAATGCAGGTGTGACCGACACCACCAGCTGCGGCGCAGCACGAGGCAGACCACGCCAGCCCACACCTTATGGAGAACCACGGCTTGTGGTTGTTCGAATCGCTGCCGATCGCTACAAACCGTCGCGGCACTCCCGGGAATTATCGAAAATATCTGATTATTACTCGACGGATCTCATCATGATATCCAACGGGTCTTTGCCGCGCACTTACAAGCGGCAGACGGACATCGATTCTAGCAAATATTGAAAAAAGTAAATACCATGCTTCCAACCTGCATGCAAAAGCTAAACGCACGTGGGTCGAATGTCTGGGTCCGATTTACCAAGAAGCACCACCACAGCAAGAGACCGACTTCCAAGCTCGGTTGCCCCCACAACGAAGCTTGTGCCAACAACAAAAATGGTGGTTTTCGAAACGTCTGGTTGAAGGTTTTCCGAAGACTATCGGACTCTTTCCGCACCCACTTGGTTGTGGGGCAATGTGGCAATCGAGCTTTGGTACATAGTCGGTCTTTCGGATGTGTGCCATCTCTCGGCCTCTTACTACAAGACGGTATGCAGACATCATGCATTGCACGCACCCTTCTCGAGGTTCTTGACGTTCTTGGAGGTGAGGGTGATGCGGATGCGGTGCACCCGCGCCTCCTCCTGGCCGAGGCCCTTGCCCTTGACGTAAGCAGACATGGTCTTTGAGGCGAGGAGGGAGCTGGCCGGACGAGGTGCAGAAGGTCAAGACTTCCGCAGTAACCTGTGCGTCGGGATGGGGGGGGGTCGGAGTAGACCGCGATGTCGGGGGGTCGAAGCTATGCCGATATTTGTGTGACGGTATTGTAGACGATGAGTCGATGCAAGCAAAACGTCGATTTCTAGCGAAGGTCAGGAAAAACATGGTTGGTTTACAACGAGAGTAACAGCAGTTGGCCTCACAACGCCTGTGTGCAACTACACACTTCCCCTATCAACCCCCACGTACCAAGTGCAGTTGAGTGAGCACTTAGGTGTGAGAATAGGATGAAATCGACATGTCGATATTGTGGTGTGCCGAGTGCGCCCAGGACCGCGACACGCACAGCTCGCAGTCGCAAGAGGCGGGAGGATCTAGGTGCTCAGGCAAGTGCACGCTTTCACGACAGGTACGACGACTAGCGTTATCACCGCTGGTTGCTAGATATGATATGCATACGAGTTGGGCAAGGGTCGGTCAAATACAAACGCGGCGGTCGGATTAGAGTGCAGCATAGCCTCCACGTTTTTTAGACACAACGCACAACGCCGACAAGCGCACCGCGCTGCTGGATGCAACGGAACGATTCTCCAGTAGACTTTGCGTGGCTATGATCATTTGCTGCTTTCCGCACATGGGATCACCTATACTACACGCCACCCGCTCTTCTCGCACACAACACAACAAGGCATGTAGCACCCACACACGGCCACAAATTTAGGCAAGCAGAGGATAGGGCTGAGATCGTAGTCGAAAATCGTTCTGCCCGTGGTTCCACTGACGACTGATGCGTGAGGGCACAAGACAGTGCAGGAACCAACGTAGGCTACACCGGTTCTCTTACCTGATCCGGAAGGGTGTTGACAGCTAGCAGTGGTGCTTGGGAAGCGTGTGGTGCCTCGATGCTCGATGCTCTGGGAGGGGGACGCCGCATCGGATACTGACAGAGATAGGGTACACATTCCTCGCCATTCTGCGGGCCGGAGCACGAAAACCTCTCCCAGCGCTGGATCGCACTGACTCTGCTGTCTGCTCTGAGTCTCGCAAGGCGCAGGGTTGGTGCGAGGCATGAAGCCGTGGAAGGAGAATGGAACTGCTATCAGCAGTGAAGAGGTCAACTTTCTCGTCTATCGCTATCTTCAGGAGTCTGGTGAGGATATCATATTATACATACCAATTTTTGTCCTCCTCTGTCTGGACTTGTACGAGCTCAGCAGCCGATGCCTTGTACCGTGTCTCTATCTTCACACCAACACTGGGTGATCCCCTGAAAACAGTGCCCAGCCAGTATGGTCGCTTCTTGAAGCCCTCGGAGCCATCATTAGTTTCGTTGCGTGGATCAGCTTGTGAGTTGTTGGTCGACCCTCCAGCTGTATGATGTAGAAATTTCACGCATGGGGGTTGACCCCCCCCCCCCCCCCCCCCCCAACGGAACGGTTTTTTCCGGGGGGGTTTCCCCCCTTTGGCTTTTCGTTTGGTTTTTTAAAACAAAAAAACAAAGTTAAGGGCCCCCAAAAAAAAGGGAAGGGGGGGGTATTTGCGGGTTTCAATTTTGGGTGGGTTTCGCTAAAATGGTTGGTCTTTTTAAAAAAAAAACCCAAATCGGGAGAAAAAATTGTTTGGGGGGAAAAAAAATTGGCCCGGGTATATTTACCCCCCCGGGGTTGGTGGGTAACGGTGTTACTTTTGTGCCCTATAAGCCTAACCAAATTTTTAGTAACGGGGGGGGGCCCTATCTGGACTTACAAGTTATTTTGAAAAAAAAAAATTGAAAATGGGGGGTGGTAAAAAAAAAACTGGGGGGAATCAAACCC